TATGAATAATTCAAAAAGCAAATTAAAGAAAAAATCAATACTCTACATAATTAATTTATGTATTTTTTTCTTAATCTAATCACAACATATTTGTATTTAATCTTTTAAATAAAATTTGTGTAGATCTATTTATACATGATTTTATTTTTCAAATAAATATAAAAATAAAAAATTAGAATCATTTTTATTTTTATATTATTAATTATTTTTCTAATTTAGCTATTATTTTTAATATCAAAATGAGCGCTTATTTACTATCTTATAATTTAATATATATCATATAAAATTATTATATAATAATTACACTTTTATAGCAAAATAGAACTAAAATTATCAAAATAAACAAATAATTTAACTAAATTTATTATACATAAGTATTTAAATAACACTTTTATAGAACGATAATGCCAAGATTATTAAAATAAATAATTAAAATTAATATTATTCTTTTGTAACACATATCATAATATAATACACTATGAGTTATGATCAAGTCATAATTTATATATTATAGAAGTTTTTATTGTTTATATTTTTTTCAGAAAAAATATTTTGATATAAGTGAAATTCATGATTTTTGATAAATTTGATTAACACAATTGAGGATTTGATTTCAAATTGAGAATACACTTTTTTTATTATAATTTTGAAAAAAAAATATTTTTATGGGCCTTTTACATAATATTAAATATGATGACAAAAAATTTCATCAATCATTAACAAATCTGTTTTATTTAACTTTCAATTGTTAAAATTTTTTACACATAAAATATTAAGACTTAAAAAATTAATTTTTTATTTTAAAAATAATTTTTTGTGCATCACACAAATCACCTACTAGTTTATATCATGTAACAATCGAATCTCTATCGCACATTATTTTTCTGTGCATATTTTTTGACATAAATTATGTACATAATTTTACTGTCTTATGATGAGTGGAGGGTATATATGATTGACACATAAGCCTTGTTTGGAAAGTTGATTATTTTAGTAGGTTATTTTAATTTTTAACTATTTTAATAGGTTAAAATATTTATATTTGAGAAGAGAATTGGATTTTTTTGTAGTTAGATGTGATGTTTGTGAGAGAGAAAATGAAATGATTATAGATTTAAAGTGATATTTTATCTTATTAATTATTCCAATTTATTTTATATTTTAATGAATTTTAGTCTAAAAAACAAAAAAAAAAAATTCTTTGGCCAAACACCCCTAGAGTATCTTATTGGTATATAATAATTTTCTAACATCAATAATACGAAGGCCTCATTTAGAAACAAACTATTTCGGTAATTTTTTGACTTTTTATAAAAAAATATATAGAAAAATAAAAAAAGTGATGCAATAACTTATAGTGATTTTTTGACTTTTTTACTAAAACATATAATTGCCAAACAAGGCCTAAGTGTCTAGAATTAAATTTTTTTTAAAAAGGGTAATTTACAAATACATTCCCTGAGATTTGATTAAAATACGATCACTCTCTGTGATTCTAAAAATTACATTTCACCTCATGAGATTTTAATTTTATAACAAATCGTCCATTTTATTAATAAATCATGAAATCAATTAATAGTTTTTAAAGATGTTAGAAATATGTTTCAATTAATTATTTAAGTAATTTTATTATTGTATGGGAGAACAGTTATGAATTTCATTTTTTAAGTTAATTTTGTTAAATAAAAAATTCTAATAATGGAATATTTATAATTTTTCAAATTATAAGAAACAATTTATACTTTAAACAAATCTCAAGAGATGTATTTATAATTTACTCTTTAAAAAAAAAATTATATAATTGAAATATTATTTTATTATGACTCATATCTCATCTAAAATAAACGTTAATTATAAAATTTATATTTTTTGTATTATTTTTATGGTTTAATTATGAATATTGTGTTCGTTTGGCAAGTGAGTTTGGGATAGGTTGAGATTATTATAGTCACAAAAAAAATATAATAAACTTTTTAGTTTCCAGCCAAAAGTTGTTACATTGTTACATTTAAATTTTAACATTACAATTTTTTTTTTTTTTTTTTACAAAAATCAAAACAAGTCAAAAAACCAAATCCCAAATGAGACTATTTTGGAGTGTTTTCCGGACTTGACTTTTAACCACTTTTTTAAGTTTTGTAGTGAAAGTTAAAAGTTAATTTTTTGGTATTTAAAAACATTTGGAAAGTTGGTTTTCAGCCACTGGTGAAATTACAATTCTACTCAACATGGGTCAAAATATGTTACATGGGTGAAGTTGTAAATATTTTAAATTTAATGGAAAAAGTTTGGTCATTTTATTGTGATTTGACATCATAAACAAATATTAATAAAAAAAATCAAAAGCAACTTTTTACCAACTTCTCCAATCATTTGTCTAAAAAGGCCAAAAGTTTGGTTAAAAGCTAAAAAATTACTTTTTACCATATTCTCAAAATAGGCCTTTAGCCTAAGGCTAAAATAATTAAAAAATTAAAAAAAACCTTGCCACATCTCAAACGAAGCCATTATTTGATAAAATATAAGCCTTGTTTGAGAAGTTGGCTATTTTAATAAGTTACTTTTAGCTTTTGATTATTTTAATAAGTTAAAATTTTTATATTTAGAAAGATGATTAATTTTTTTTATAATTGGATGTGATGTTTGTGAGAGAAAAAATAAAATAATTATGATTTTAATGTAATATTTTATCTTATTAACTATTTTAGTTAATTTTATCTTCTTTTATGAATTTTAGTTCTTTTTTTTTTCTTTTTTTTAATAAAAAAACCTCTTGCTAAATCGGGCCATAGATAGATATACAACAATGATTCATTTTACTAATTTGAAAATCCTAAATTCTTAAAAAAAAAAAAACCTAAAACCAAAACATCACCTCATGAATGAAACCACTCTCTAAAGCTGTTTTAAAGTGCATAATTTAGAGTTCCCAAATAATTTTTTTTTGATAGATATCAGTTGGAAAATTGCCATGACAGTGCGCATGGAAGTCGGCCCTCCTATTGCCAATTTGCCAAACCTCAACTCACGGCTTCTAGAGGAGTCCCACTTCAGCAAATTGCTAAGCCCCACGCGCAGTTAAACATGTCACCCCTTCACGCGCACCCAATGAACCAACCAAACCTAACCCATCTTTGTCTGTTTGTGCAAATACTTTCACTTGTGGGCATTCATCCACTTTGGTCATTCAACTTCCCCCAGTCATTTCCATTTATTGATATGCCAAATCAAAATGTCCCCCACCCACCAAAAACAAAACTACAAATGTTATGCATAATTCATATCCACAATTCTCATTCATTAAACATAGTTATTAACATGAACTTCTCTATTTGCTATTCATAATTCTTAAAAGTATAAAGACATAGAAATATTAACTAGCAAAGGACAATAGTGAATAGATTCACAGTAAATAATATTTGATACAAATTAAAACTTTCGAATCCTTTCACATTGAATTTAGTCAAATTTAAACCTAAATTTTGCTAATTTATTACAAAATATTGAGATATATGATTAAAAATATGCTGGGCGATATATTGGAAATTGATAAAAACTTTTGCTTTTATTTTCTTTTTCATATTATACTTTATACAATGTTATGTTCATATTACAAATTGCTAAGACGAAACACTCCATCTGAAATATGCGGAAAAAGTCTATGTCGTTTGGCAAACTTAACTTTTTGACTTTTTTAACCTAGGAGTTTTTTATTCGTTTGGTTTTCTTATTTAGCTTTTTTGACTTTTTTGCATTGGAATGACAAAATTGCCCTCCACTTGGAAATGATGTTTTTTTGACTTTTTGTTTGTATGTGGATTAATTTGGTAATTTTGCATCAAAAGTCAAGTGTTTTATCATTTTGTGATTTTGTGACTTTTTTTTATCCTTATGTGCTTATTTAGTCCCAATATGTTTACCAAACCAAGGCTTAGTAGGGAGATTTATTAGAAAATTCTTTTTCAAATATTTGTATTTCAATTAGTTCATAACATATACTTATATTTCAATAAATACTATTATTTAGACATTTGATTCATCATATCATAATTTTCATATTTAAGGTATTTTATGAACAATTTCATTCTTACAAATATTTTGACCGGTTAACAACTTGGTAATGTGAATATTCATATGTAAATATTTACATTGACGGTGTGAACATTATAAATATTATTATTAAGGGCATGTTTGATTGTGTGGATTAGAGCATGTGATTGAGATTATTAATCCGTGGGCCCAATTATCCTATGTTTGTTTTAACATTTTGGTTTAGGATAATTAATCCAATGGATTATTAATCCAACAAATTTATTGGATTATTAGTAATGGAGTAGGGGTGAGATTATTAATCCAATGGATATTAATCCAATTGGATAGTGAATCTCACACTAATTTAATAGGATTATTAATATTTCACTATTAGTTTTGTGAATCAAATATGACCTAAGGATATTTTGATAACTATGTACTTATTGAGATATAAAAAAAAAATTAAGTTAAATATAAGTAGGAAAAGGATTTATAAATAAATGCCCCAATTTGATATCATTTAAAATAGGGGGATGCACCAATAAATCCCAAATTAATAACTTATACACTATTTAGTCCTAAGAGTTTTCTTATAGACTGAAAGGTCCCATTACCATGTTTCAAACATCAGATTAATGTTTCGAACATTAGATTTCGAACATCAGATTAATGTTTCAAACATTAGATTGATGTGCAAATGGGACTAAATAGAGCATAAGAAAATTTTTAGAACTAAATGGTTCAACTTTTCAAAAACTAGGACTTATGGGTAAATTTTCCATTAAAATATATTTAATATTTGAGAAAATATTTTTATGTGATTATTTGATCGATTAATTGTGCACGCTCTTTCAACGCGTGAGTAATGCATTTCAGAATAGTTGGTCGACGCACTAATCTTCCCCTTAGATATTTCGATTTCGTTCATACATGATAGGTATATCATTCACACCTTTTTACAAAACCTTACTTTCTAAGAAACCAAACAAACAAGACGATCAAGGTTCATGACCCGAGTAAATTAAAATACAACACTTGGAATCTCTATTAAAATATATGTAATCTCGCCCTCTTTTCTCTCCTTCCTGGTAACAAAAACAAATACCATCAGACAAACACTCCTTTTCTCCTTTTATATTTATATAACAATCACACTTCTACTTGCCCGGAATTCCGTGGACTTCAATCAACAGTTATGGAGTTTTTCACCAAAGTTAAAGCAGTAAAACTCCGAAGCCACCTCGACAAGTATCTAGCGGCCGACGACGACAAAGAAACAGTGCGACAGAGCCGCCAGGGCTCGGCCCGAAAAGCCCGGTGGCTGGTTGAACCCGTCGACGGAAACCCACAACTCATACGGCTCAAAGGCATACACGGCAGCTACCTGGCCGCCTCCGCAGCCCCTTTCCTCCTGGGCATGACCGGAAACAAGGTCGTTCAGGCCAAACTCGATGACTCGTCGGAGACGACGACGGAGTGGCAGCCGATCAGAGATGGGTTTCAGGTGAAGCTGAAGGCGGCGGCGGGAGGGACTTATTTGAGGGCCAACGGCGGAACGCCGCCGTGGAGGAACACCGTCACGCATGATATTCCGTTGGCCGGTTCGACGCATAATTGGGTTTTGTGGGAGGCGGAGGCTGTGGAGATACCGGAGAATGAGGCGTTGAATGATTATTTGTCGTTGGTTTCGAGTTTTTCGTCACTTTCCGATGAGGTTTTTGGGTCGGAGGAGGTTGAGTCGCCGATGTCTATACGGTCCTACAATTCTCCCAAGTTGTCTACGAAGAAGGTACGTTTTCTTTTTCTTTTTTATTTTTCAAAATATGACATCACAATAAAACTTATATAAAAAAAAAAAAAAATCTCAATCGAGGAAAGGAAAATTCTAATAAACACAGAAGAATAATAGTCATATACAAGTAGAGAGTTTGAATTATTGATCTTTTAGTAAGGTGTAAGGTTTAAACTAAATATATTTTCTTAATTTGTTTTTTTGAAATATTATGGTTATGAAAATTTGTCTTAAGCCTCTGTTTGACAAGATGGTTTTCAGGTTTTTTTGGCTATTTTAGTCACAAAAAACAAAATAGGTTATTTTAGCCATAACAAACAAAACATCACATCCAACCTATAATCATTACATTCTTCTCTCACAAAAAAAGTCAAAAAAGCCAAAAACCAAAAAGTCCTTCTCAAACCAAGCTTTTTAGCCCAGACTAAAATAGCCAAAAAAACTAAAAAGCCAAAAAGCCAACTTACTTCTCAAACCGAGCCTAAATCTTATCTATAAAATTAGTGTTTGGTATAGATTTAAAGTTAATAGAATGCTAGACAAATTCACAATAAATGTAGACTACTAATTTTATTTATTTTAAAATAATATGAGTAATTTTTTTTAGTATGTAATATTACTAATTTAAAAATAGTCTTACATTGGAAGATGGTGATTTTTGCATTTTTTTTTTTGTAATCTTTATTTAATTTAATTTCTAATATATGAAATAATGTTTTCGATTTATCAATGATGTTTTAGAGATAGGGCGGTCTAGGGAATTATTTGCTATTGATTTTCCAAGTCCTCTCAAGTGTTTAGTCTCAACCATGACAACATAGATATGTGCCTGACAAAGGGCAAAATTATAGTTGTTTGGGAGTACTAATATCATCAATTGAGGAATTACAAAATGTATTAGGCAGGTTACTTTTTTATTCTTTAACTAATTAACAAAATGCAAGTCAATATTATTTTATATGTACTGTAAATTTTTTCACTACATTATTTGTTAAGAGCATATGTAGATAATATCACATCACGTTATACTTTTATTTTATTTTATTGAAAAGAATGATACTTAATACATTGTATATTTGATAATAAATTATCTAACAAAGCATCTCAAAGCACAAGATGTATTCCAAAATGATAAATAAAACCTACACGTAATGAGGATATATAGGTCATAAAAGAAGGAAACCTCTATGCAAACATAAAAAAATAAATCATTACTAAACACCTTCACAATCTATTAGTCATCGTAACTGATAATTGTGATGCCAATCCTCACTACCTCTACATTACAAAATAAATAATCACATTAGACCGGAGAGTACCAAATAATTACCTCTCATAAGAACATGCTTAATTAATTATGTTAGCAATAATGCCATGAGTGGAAAAGTGCAAAAAAAATTAAATAAATAATAAATAATAAACAAAAAAAACAAAAATTCTGACTTGAGCTAAAGCATAAAAAATTCTCCTCTGATGCAGCTTCATTTCAATTGAACGAAAAGCTTTTTTTTTTTGTTTTTTTGATTGAAAATTGGGCAAAAGTTACCATCTAGTCCAACTGATATCTTATACTGGTTTTATCCTTGATAATTCTGCAAATAAGTACCTTTTATGCTTAAAAAAGAAAATAATATTTGACTTCACTTTTTTTTATGCGAATTGGCAAATTATATGTTATATGTATATATTATTGCCTCTTTCAATATTTTTTAAAGCCTTATATTACATGTATATTTTCATTGAAAACTATATGAAATATTAAAAAAAAATCATTAATGGCCTCTCCCAATTTTTTATATTTACTTTGGCCCCCCCAATGTAAGAATTTTGGCCCCCCTCCTCCCAGTGAGTTTTACATGTACACGTGGCGCTAGAGTATTAAAAAGAAAATTGGTGAAATCTCTAAAAAAATATGTAATGAAATTTCAATTAGTGAATAATTGATTGAAAAGTTGGCAAACTTATTGGCTTGTAAGGGCATCCACAGTGGAGCTGCTAACAATAGTGTTAGTGTCAGTTGTTAAGTTTTAGCTAGGGAAGGGAAGCTTGTGGTGCTGCAGTGGATCTGCCAACATGTGTGTTAGTGGTGTGTATTAGTGTCAGTTGTTAAGTTGTTTGTTATCTGCAGCGAGCCTTCTAGCGAGGGAAGGGAATCGTTTTTTTGTCTTACCGGTTGATCGGCCGGTTGACCAATCAACGGAATTTTTTTTTTTTTTACTTGTTGGGATTTTTTTTTGGACTTGAAATTTTTTATTAAACTAATTTATTTATTTATTTTATTTATTATATACACACACATATATATATATTTAACACACCCCTTAACACATCCATTACACCACCACTTACTCTCTAAAATTAATAAAACTCTTAACACATCTTAACAAATATTTTTGAGTCCCACCTTATTATTTTTTGTCATATAACACATAACTTAATACACATTTTTAGCCATATCTGTGGATGTCCTAAGAGATAGCTAACAGTAAAAAAAGATAGGGTTCTCTAGTTTTGGCACTAGCTTTTTAGCCAAAATGCTTTACTGTGAGGGGTAAAAAAAAAACTTAAAAAATATGCAACAATGATTCATCCCACTAAAAACATCAATACTAATAGCACTAATGTATTAAAAAAAAAAATACAACTTCAAGATCAAAATATCACATCATTAATGACGGGACCCACTGCCACCTAATTAGTGGGAGCACTAATTAGTACTCCAAGCATTTTTCAAAAATATGTCTGTTCCAACCAAAAAACTTTCTAAATCCCAATAGGTGATGGTTATGATCCCACCACTTTCAAAAGTTTATATGCCTTTTTAGGCCAAGTTTGAAAAGATAAAAAAAAGTTAAAAAATTAAAAAATTATTCAAAAAGTTAAAAAGTTAACATTATTTAGTAAAAATTAATAATTACTGCTGCACAATTTTCAATCTTAATTTTTTTTATAAATTAATTTTTACAATTTTTTAATACATATTTTTTTATAAAAAGTCAAAAAGTTAACCAAAACATCTATATTTTTTTCCTTAATTTTTTAGTCTAAAAAGATAAAAAATACACTTATTTAGGACACTCTAAACAACCCCTTAATTGTGTTTGGATTAAAGACTAAAGCAAGATTGAAAATTTAAGGATGATTGAATATAAAAGAAGGAAACCTCTATGCAAACATAAAAAAATAAATCATTACTGAACACTTTCACAATCTGTTAGTCATCGTAAGTGATAATTGTGATGCCAATCCTCACTACCTCTACATTACAAAATAAATAATCACATTAGACCGGAGAGTACCAAATAATTACCTCTCATAAGAACATGCTTAATTAATTATGTTAGCAATAATGCCATGAGTGGAAAAGTGCAAAAAAAATTAAATAAATAATAAATAATAAACAAAAAAAACAAAAATTCTGACTTGAGCTAAAGCATAAAAAATTCTCCTCTGATGCAGCTTCATTTCAATTGAACGAAAAGCTTTTTTTTTTTTTTGTTTTTTTGATTGAAAATTGGGCAAAAGTTACCATCGAGTCCAACTGATATCTTATACTGGTTTTATCCTTGATAATTCTGCAAATAAGTACCTTTTATGCTTAAAAAAGAAAATAATATTTGACTTCATTTTTTTTATGCGAATTGGCAAATTATATGTTATATGTATATATTATTGCCTCTTTCAATATTTTTTAAAGCCTTATATTATATGTATATTTTCATTGAAAACTATATGAAATATTAAAAAAAAATCATTAATGGCCTCTCCCAATTTTTTATATTTACTTTGGCCCCCCTCCTCCTAGTGAGTTTTACATGTACACGTGTCGCTAGAGTATTAAAAAGAAAATTGGTGAAATCTCTAAAAAATATGTAATGAAATTTCAATTAGTGAATAATTGATTGAAAAGTTGGCAAATTTATTGGCTTGCAAGAGCATCTACAGTGGAGCTGCTAACGATAGTGTTAGTGTCAGTTGTTAAGTTTTAGCTAGGGAAGGGAAGCTTTTGGTGCTGCAGTGGATCTGCTAACATGTGTGTTAGTGGTGTGTATTAGTGTCAGTTGTTAAGTTGTTTGTTATCTGCAGCGAGCCTTCTAGCGAGGGAAGGGAAGCGTTTTTTTGTCTTACCGGTTGATCGGCCGGACGTTCAGCCGGTTGACCAGTCAACGGAATTTCTTTTGGTGCTGCAGTGGATCTGCTAACATGTGTGTTAGTGGTGTGTATTAGTGTCAGTTGTTAAGTTGTTTGTTATCTGCAGCGAGCCTTCTAGCGAGGGAAGGGAAGTGTTGTTGAGATTTTTTTTTTTTGGACTTGAAATTTAGTTTTGGGCTTGAAATTTTTGATTAAACTAAATTATTTATTTATTTTATTTATTACACACACACATCCATTACACCACCACTTACTCTCTAAAATTAATAAAACTATTAACACATCTTAATAAATATTTTTGAGCCCAACTTTATTATTTTTTGTCATATAATACATACTTTAATACATATTTTTAGCCATCTCATTGTGGATGTCCTAAGAGATAGCTAACAGTAAAAAAAGATATGGTTCTCTAGTTTTGGCACTAGCTTTTTAGCCAAAATGGTTTACTGTGAGGGGTTAAAAAAAAACTCATAAAACATGTCTGTTCCAACCAAAAAAACTTTCTAAATCCCAATAGGTGATGGTTATGATCCCACCACTTTCAAAAGTTTATATGCCTTTTTAGGCCAAGTTTGAAAAGATAAAAAAAAATCAAAAAATTAAAAAATTATTTAAAAAGTTAAAAAGTTAATATTATTTAGCAAAAGTCAATAATTACTGTTGTATAATTCTCAATCTTAATTTTTCTTTATAAATTAATTTTTACAATTTTTTAATACATATTTTTTTATAAAAAGTCAAAAAGTTAACCCAAAAATCTATATTTTTTTTCTTAATTTTTTAGTCTAAAAAGACAAAAAATATACTTATTTAGGACACTCCAAACAACCCCTTAATTGTGTTTGGATTAAAGACTAAAGCAAGATTGAAAATTTAAGGATGATTGAATAGGAGGTCTAACCCACCACAAAAGATTTTTTATTTTTATTATTATTATTATTATTATTTTGTTGGTTTTATTCCAACTGAATCTACTATTGGGCCAAGATATATGTTACCTACCCTAAATGACCACAAAGCACTACCTCACCACTAAAATAGCACCAACATTTACACTTGGACATTAGTGAAAGGTCTCGTTTGGGTACAGGTTAATTAATAATTTTTTAGTTATTTAGTTAAAATATGAGTTAAAAAAAATTAATATGTTTGGGGTGATTTTTTAGTTTTTTATGAAAAAATGTGCAAAAAGTAGAGAAAAAAGAGAATCTTTAATTTTTTGGTATGAGTTGTTGGCTTTTTAACTAATTTAATAATTTTTTGACTTTTTGGCTAAAAAGGAGAGTTCCCAAACGAGGCCAAAGTTGTCATTAATTCTCAACAATAATGTTATATGAAAAATGTTACAAATTCTAAATTTTCTACCAAATAAATGATTAAATGTCTCACATGATTATTCATTAGTAAAAAATTTGATATTTCTAATATTATTCAAATCGTAAGATTCATTCAATTAATACAATAATATATAAAATGATAAATAAAATATAATACACAAATAGAGTTGTCGTAGCATTATTGAATTTTCAATTCCTTTTCATAGGAAATTAATTTTGTTCACACATTATTTACAAAATCCTCTATTGAGATTAGTTAAAATAGTGGGGCTGATTTCATTTAATAGACTCCATTGTTTTAATTAATTAGGGATAAAAAATTTATTTACCAATCTATCAAGTGGGTAAAACAAAGCTCGATTCATTCCATGTTAAAATAGTACCAATAGCAATCTATATATCTTTTTTAGATAGTACATATATTAGAAATATAAAAATATTTATCTATGATAAAAAAAAAAAAAATACACTCCCATGAATATTTGGCAACAATATTCTTAATTTTACTTATTTATTTATTTATTATTTTGATAAGATTTGTTTATATAGATAGTAACTATTGTACTTAAATTGTCCAACTTTCCCAGTCTTTGATATTAATGAAAAAAATTCAACTATTTATTTAAACAGCCTAAAATGTTGGCTCTAAAAGCAACCTCATAAATAAAATTGTTAATGCAAAAGTTAGGTAATTAACTATTTACTAGTTCTAATTTCAAAAGCTGAAAATTTAAGGATCACTAGCATCTTATAAATGTAATATACAGTTATCAAAATTTTTTAAAAAAATATGAACAATAAATATAATTAAAAAAGATTTGGTTTTAAACTTGATCATTATGTTCAGATTTGTAGAATTCACCATAGGTTTAGTTTTAATAATTTGAACCATTTATTTTATAGAGCCTTGTAGATATAATTTATGAAAAAATTAAGTTAATCCAATAATCATAATTCTTTATTTGATCTGTCTTTGAAAAATAGATGACAAATATATAAATTTTTTTATAAATATTATCTACTTTTTCATAGATAATATATATAGAAAATCTTAAAATATGAATAATTCAAATTACTGAAACAACATTCATTGTGTCTCACGAATATAACCATAACAAAAAAAAATTAAAAAGAATAATTTGACAATTTATTAAAATTTTTAAATTTTTGAACTAAAGATCATTCTTCCCAGGCATGGCCTAATTTTAATTCTTTAAAAACAAACCTTTCTGAAAGGCAAACCTAACGAAATTATTAAAGAAGTGTCACAGTCACTCAATTTTCTCTTCCACAATCTCTACAAATAAGATAATAAATAAAATTTAAAAAGTTAATTCACACGCCAATTGACATGATACTCACATTCTATATCTTGCTTTCATTTGTGAGAATTGGAGAATATTGTGTTTTGAAACATGATTCATTTTTAAATTTTTATTATTATTTTAGTCTGATATTTTTTGATTTTTTGCTGTCATTTGTGAGAATTTGAGAATATTGTATGTGATGAAACATGATTCATTTTTAAATTTTTATTATTATTTTAGTCTGATATTTTTTGATTTTTTTAATTTTTATAAAAAAATAAATATAATTTAAATGTGACATTTTATTTTATTTAAATAAAATAATTAATTTTAACCCATAACTATTTTAATCCAGATAAACGTATCAAACCTAACCTATTAAAACGAAATTGGGAGACTGTACAACAGTGATTGTTGTGCGTCAAAATAGGTCTATTTCAAGATTCATTTTGATAATCCGAACCGTTTATATTTTAAAATACATCAAGTACAATATGTTTATAAAAATTAAGTTAATCGGATATCGTTTACTTATTTATTTACTTATATTTATATTTATTTTAATATTTTATATCATAATTATTATTTATTTTTGTAGTTACAAATATAATAAATGAATAAATAAACGATATTCAATTAATTTAATTTTTTATAAATATATTTTATTTAATGTATTTTAAAATACAAATAATACGAATTATAAAAAATAACTCCAAAATTAGCCTATTTTGGCGCACAACAATTGCTGCTGCGCAGGGCAGCAGCAACCCCAATGTCAAACCACAGACAAATCTCGTGATTTTTTTTAGACATGCTCAACCTAAAACCGTGTCACTTGTAATTTACGCCGTAAAATGTGGCTGTCCCGCACTGGATCTAGCCTTTCCTCATCTGTCTGTCCGTCCCTACATAGCTATGTAAAAACCCACCTCTCCTTGTCCGAGTTGAACTTCCCAACTCCCTCTGTAAAAACCTCCCAAAAATCCAGACCTAATTCCCCATTATTTTTGGCTTTCCTTTCAGACCGGCATGGATCTCTTCCGCAACGCCAAGGCGGTGCGCCTCCGCAGCCACCACGACAAGTACCTCCTCGCCGACGACGACGAAGACTCCGTCACTCAAGACCGCAACGGCTCCGCCAAGAACGCCCGCTGGACCGTCGAATTCGTCGACGACGACAGCGGCGGAGCCAACTTCCTCCGCCTCAAATCCTGCTTCGAAAAGTACCTCACCGCCTCGAACCAGCCATTCCTCCTCGGCATGACCGGTCACAAGGTCGTTCAGAGCTCGCCGGCTGGCCGGCTCGACTCGTCGGTGGAGTGGGAGCCGATTCGGGAGGGGAATCAGGTGAAGTTGAAGACGAGGTACGGCCACTTCCTACGCGCGAACGGCGGCGTTCCGCCGTGGAGGAATTCGGTTACGCATGATATTCCTCACCGGACTGCTACTCAGGATTGGATCCTTTGGGAGGTTCATGTTGTTGAGATTGTGATTGTTCATTCGCCCAAACCTAAAGATTGGATCCTTTGGGAGGTTCATGTTGTTGAGATTGTGATTGTTCATTCGCCCAAACCTAAAGCGGTTGTTCAGGCTGTGCCGCGATTGGATGAGTTTGCTTCTGATTCGAGCTCGCCTTCCACTCATTCTGCTAAATCTAATAGTTTTGGACGACAAGAGGTTTCGATTTCCATTGCTAAATTATCTTAATTTACATCAAATCTCACTTTAGTCTTTCAATTAGAGAATATTCAATTGGGGATGACAGATAGAGTTTTAAAAGGATTTTGATGAAAATTTGATGAGAGGTTTGGAGTAATTGGTATCAAATTGAGTTTTTTAAATCAAATTAAATATTACCAAAAAAAAAAAAAATTAGTGAAGCTATGGAGATGCTCTTAGAAAATAAAGTAGTGAAGAGAAAATTTTTTGAAAATCACATAAAGCATTTTTGAGGGATATTTTTTATCCTTTCTATTTTTTAAAATTATTTTTCCGCAAAATTGGATTTTGTTTGGGTTTAGAAAATAAAATACAGTGGAGAATAAAATATAGTGAAAAAATAAAGAAGAAAAAGGCAAAAAAAAAAAAAAAAAAAATGCCATATGACAAGGTCACATAACAATTTTTGTTAGACAATTTAACTCCAAAATAACGAAGGGCACATTACTACTTGATATAAAATAAGTTCAAGGGAATAATTGTTGCAATTGAAAAATGAGTAATAAGGTGAGATATGATGTAATGGAATTGCTGTTGATACAATTTCTCGTGAATTAGATTTTGATTTTGTTGGGGCTTTTTTTTTCCCTTCTTGCAGTCTATTGATTCTGTGGGTAGTTCACCGCCTAAGGCAGCTGATGGGCGGGCTATATATTACAGTGTTGCAGATGAATTTGGTAATGTCAATGAGGGTGACGAGGGGCATTGTATTACATTTAAAGGGAATGGGGTTGATGAATTAACTCGGAGGCTGGAAGATGAGACAGGTATTGAGGACATTGCTGTGTGTTCGCGAAGTCCATTGAATGGGAAGCTTTACCCACTTCGCTTACAGCTTCCTCCCAACAATGTGACTATGCATGTTGTTGTGGTTCCGTCCTCCTCAAAAGGTGAGTTTTTTTTTTTTTTTTTTGAGTGATATACTAGTTTATGTCTTGCTTCAGTATATTAGTTGTTTTGCGAAAATGCATTTACTTTGTATACTCGTTTCTGATTTTGAATTTGTGTATGACGTGGAAATGAACAAACGAATTCGATTTCAAAATCAAAACCCTTTGATTTTAGGAGTTGCTTTTGATTTTTATTTTTTTGAAACCAGATGGATGGTGTCCATAAAAGCCCACTTTTGTGGCTCAACTCAACCTTTATTAGGAATGGACTCCTTGCGAAAACAATATTAGCTAGAAGGATTAGAGGGTTCGGTATTTTGGTATTGTGGATCTTGTTTGCTGTCATATCTTATTTTGGATGGCTTTATATTTGCAATCAAATACAAGTAGGATGGTAGGGGGAGGTAATCGAAAAAAATAAGGTTGAGTTGAAGGTCAATTCTCTTTTGTGTCATGTCTGGCCTTTGGAGGTTTTGAAAAAACATCCAATTTTGAAAGTCATATCTAAAAACCACACATCCAATTTTGAAATTGAATGTTATTGTTTGAAATGATTTAAATTTTTTTGGTGTCTTAAATGGATGCAGGAGCCTAATAGAATTTCTTTTGGATTTTTTTTTCTTGTTTTAAAATTTTCCCCCTTTAAAGTCTTTTTGAATTTTGTTGACTTGCTTCTGCCTCATAATACCTGTCTACTTTTGTTTTTCTCGTTTTTGTTTTTCTTTTAGCACTTCCATGTATCTCTATGTCTCTGTTGAGTATTTTGATTAGCACAACTTTAAGATCCTTATGAAAAAGATTTCAGCAGGCAATCACCGAGGAAATGTTTGACCCGTTGATCTATTTTGCACTAATGCATAGGTCTCCATTATTCACTTATCTCCTTTGTTGTTGTTGTTGTTGTTGTTGTTGTTTTTTTTTTTTTTTTTTTTTTTTTTTTTTTTCATCAGTGGCGCGAGACTTTGCAAAAGCAGGAATTACATTGTGAAACGTGCTGGGAGACATCACAATTTTGCTTATGATCCAAATTCATGCAACTAGATATCTTGTACATTCTATTTCAGGCCTACCCTTTTGCTTGTTGAAAAATGCAGAGAAATAAGTTTTTGTGAGGTTTGCAACTCTTGCCTTGCTGTGTTCATTGTTGTACTATAGCAGTAAGTGATTACAGTCTAGTAGATGATGAACAAAAAAAAGACATTCTAGCAATCTCAGTGGAACAAACTTAGATCTAGCTAAACCATTTGTAATAATGCAAAAATCTTTTCTACAGTTCTACTTGGGATTCAAATTTCTTGGGGGCTTTTGTATCTGATTCTGTTGTAAATTTATTTGTACAATTTTTGTTAGTTGAGAGGTTTATGGTTTAGATGACTTGTCTTGCATGCTAAGAAGTAAGACACTTCTAAGAAGGCATATTCGTGTTATGTCCGTGTTGGACACTGACACTCTCTAGACACTTTCTTGAAAATGTTCAACACTCTTCAAAGCATAGCCCTTGTTTAGGAAGTTGGCTATTTTAGTAAGTTAAAATAGTTGTATTTGGGAAGAAAGTTGGATTTTTTTTATAATTGAATGTGATGTTTGTGAGAGAAAAAGTAAAATGATTATGGATTTAATGTGATGTTTGTCTTATTGGCTAATTTAGTCTATTTCGTCTTTTTGTAAATTTTAGCTAAAAATTTCCAAACCCAACTTGCCAAACATCGCCCATTTCTTATTTTTTAAATTTTTTTTAATGACTCGGACACTTTTTGGATACTTAGAGGACACGTGTCTATCGATTAAACACATGTGAAACTAATTATAAGTTTGAACAAAATAACTTAAGATACAATAATAAAACACAAATTATATAAATTTATAAAAATTAGTATCATATTATACTTTTTGTTATCTTTGAATGATATATTTATATATATATAACATATAATAAATTCATAAAATTAGATATTTCATGTGTGTACTTCATGTGTTGTATTTTGTATTTTTTGAAAATTAGCGTGTCTGTATCGCATTTGTATCATGTCACATGTCTGTGTTCATACTTCTTAGATTGCATTTCTTTCATCAGGTGATTGATTATGTGATTGATTTCGATGTAAATTTTTCCTATCTCCTTTTAGAATTTTAGGATTTGGGCTAGTTTAGATGTCGGGATTTTTGGAAAAATTATTAGTTGGTCTAGGGACGCCACGTAATCATGTACTTCACCAATCACAATTCATTATGTCCCTTCATGTTGACTAATCACTTAATACAAATTCATGGGTCTCACTCCATTTACTAATCATAACACTATTGAAACATCACCTGTGGTATCCTCAGACCAATTAATAACTTCTCAGAATTTTGAGGACAAATGAGAATAAAAATTTCTCTCAGCTATGATTATTCAAATTTTAGGAGTTGGGCTCAGTTTGGATTACAAAAATTTTAAAGGAAAATGGGAATGTGAATTCAGGTCTTTTATAAGGAAAATGTCTCGTAGCTCAAATTTTGTGGCTCAAAAGTGGCTCAAATGGCCAAAACGACGTCGTTTTGGTCATTTTTATATTGTTCTGTACTCAAAACGACGTCGTTTTGGCCATTTGAGCCACTTTTGAGCCACAAAATTTGAGCTACGTAGCATTGTCGCTTTTATAATTCCATTTGTTTAAAACAGAGTACAATAGAAAAGTGATTTTAGGTACGTACTCAATTTAGATGACTGTAAATATCAGGGGAATGAAAATATACACCGTTTAAAACGAATTGGAATGGGAAAGTAATTCCACATTAGCTATTATGGAATTATTTTTTCAAAGTAAGAGAAATTTAGTTCCCATATTCCTATTGGGATATGGTAATCTCACATTCCTCAATAAAAAAAAAAAAAAAAAAACAAACTTGAGTTGAAACCTAAGGATCTAATTGTTGCAATTAGGAGATGATGGGGTGAAATTGATATTAAGTGAAAATTTGAGGATTAAAAATATAATGTATCTTTATTTTAGTATTAATAATGAAATATATATATATATATAAATTTTTTTTATGCCATCCAAACATACTCTCTGTTCAAAGCCTTCCAGGTAAAAATCATACTTAGGCGTCGTTTGGAAAGGCAATCCCAGGCTAAAATAGCCAAGTCGCGACAAAAAAGGCTAATTCAGCCAAGTCACGACAAAATCGATTTTCACGGGTGTTGGGCGAGGCTGTGTGGTGTGAATTTACCGAATTGCCCCGAGAGGTTAAAATCTCTCCATCTGCAAAAAGCGGCTCACATTAGAGCTCATACACACCCATTGCAAAGCAGAGGAGAAGAAGAACGGAGTTATTGGAGGCCGTCAGACCGACCTTGGCAGAGGAAACCGCAACCGGAGATTGAAACCGCGGCGGCGAACAACAATCAACTCTCTCACACTCAAACCAATCTGCAGGTGATGATCTATGGCCTATCTGATTTGTTTTCTCTTCTTCCTATCTGCGTAGTTTATGTTCATAACAGCATCGGTTCATGACCGATCTGTTGGCTCACGGTCGTTATTGGGTTGATTACACTTACATTACACACAGACCGGCCACCGATCTGTCTCATCCGTAAATCTCGTCTTTTAGATCTGTTGTTATGTTCGAAATCTGTTCGCATCCAACAAATTTGGGGCGGATTTGTATATATATATATATATATAATATCTTATCTGATTCAAATAGTTGGTCTGATTTATGAAAATCAGCTCTATTGATCTTATATATCTGTTCAGAATCACAAATTTGGGCCAGATGTATGAAGGCACCGTTGTTTAAACAATCAAGGAAATGCAAATCTGTTCTACAATTGTTGTATCTGTTCGGTTATAGTTTCAAATGCAGATCCTTAATTTTTTTTTATTTTTTTTTTATAAATAAGAAATGTTGTTCCCATTTGTGAAATGCTCAATTCCCATTTGTGCTTAACAGAATTGCTCAATTCCCATTTGTGAAATGCTCAATTCCCCTGATTGTTGCCTAATAGAAATGCTCAATTCCCATTTGTGAAATTTTTTTTAATTACATAAAAAGTATAATTCCAACTCAATTTGGGTTACAAGTTAGAGATATTAACAACAAATTGTCAAAATATATATAACTTATAGTCCAAAAAGAAAAAATTAAAAATTGTAATCAATTAAGCAATATATTAAAAATATATTACGAAGATATTAAAAAAATATATGTGAAATGTATATTAGAAATTTTGATTTACAAGGTAAAGACTGTAAAAATTTTATTACACATATATGTCAAAATTTAATTATGAAAAACTTTATCATCAATATATGAATAAATGTTTTCAAAAAAGCCAAAAAATATATTGAAAATATATTACAAATTAGATGTATTAATTTGCGTATATTTTTTACTCAAGACGAAATGCTCAATTCTCAATTCAAAAAAATAAATTAATTACATAAAAAATATTTTCCAACTAAATTTGGGAAGGAAGGTAGATATATTATCTACATATATTAACAACAAATTACAAAATATATGAAATTTATATTAGAAATATATAAAAATAACAGTTTACTAAAAATATATTACAAAAATGTTTGACAGATATTAATAATGTATTAATATTATATATTACAAATTTAGAGGTAAACAATAAAGAGTGTAAAAGTTTTATTAAACAGATATGACTACATGTAAGTATGAAAAAACTTTATCATAAATATATTCAAAAATGTAAATATATTCTCACCAATCCATTTTGCTGCCTATCATAAAAAATGTAGTACAAATATATTCTCACCAATCCATTTTGCTGCCTATCATAAAAAATGTAGTACAAATATATTCTCACCAATCCATTTTGCTGCCTATCATAAAAAATGTAGTACAAATATATTCTCACCAATCCATTTTGCTGCCTATCATAAAAAATGTAGTACAAATATATTCTCACCAATCCATTTTGCTGCCTATCATAAAAAATGTAGTACAAATATATTCTCACCAATCCATTTTGCTGCCTATCATAAAAAATGTAGTACAAATATATTCTCACCAATCCATTTTGCTGCCTATCATAAAAAATGTAGTACAAATATATTCTCACCAATCCATTTTGCTGCCTATCATAAAAAATGTAGTACAAATATATTCTCACCAATCCATTTTGCTGCCTATCATAAAAAATGTAGTACAAATATATTCTCACCAATCCATTTTGCTGCCTATCATAAAAAATGTAGTACAAATATATTCTCACCAATCCATTTTGCTGCCTATCATAAAAAATGTAGTACAAATATATTCTCACCAATCCATTTTGCTGCCTATCATAAAAAATGTAGTACAAATATATTCTCACCAATCCATTTTGCTGCCTATCATAAAAAATGTAGTACAAATATATTCTCACCAATCCATTTTGCTGCCTATCATAAAAAATGTAGTACAAATATATTCTCACCAATCCATTTTGCTGCCTATCATAAAAAATGTAGTACAAATATATTCTCACCAATCCATTTTGCTGCCTATCATAAAAAATGTAGTACAAATATATTCTCACCAATCCATTTTGCTGCCTATCATAAAAAATGTAGTACAAATATATTCTCACCAATCCATTTTGCTGCCTATCATAAAAAATGTAGTACAAATATATTCTCACCAATCCATTTTGCTGCCTATCATAAAAAATGTAGTACAAATATATTCTCACCAATCCATTTTGCTGCCTATCATAAAAAATGTAGTACAAATATATTCTCACCAATCCATTTTGCTGCCTATCATAAAAAATGTAGTACAAATATATTCTCACCAATCCATTTTGCTGCCTATCATAAAAAATGTAGTACAAATATATTCTCACCAATCCATTTTGCTGCCTATCATAAAAAATGTAGTACAAATATATTCTCACCAATCCATTTTGCTGCCTATCATAAAAAATGTAGTACAAATATATTCTCACCAATCCATTTTGCTGCCTATCATAAAAAATGTAGTACAAATATATTCTCACCAATCCATTTTGCTGCCTATCATAAAAAATGTAGTACAAATATATTCTCACCAATCCATTTTGCTGCCTATCATAAAAAATAGAGTTTTCCTCCAGTTGATTGCAAATGAGATTAGTAAAGGAAATCGGCCATTCTTAGTCCTCAGCCAGGCAGGGTACAAGTCGTTGTCAAGGAAATTTCAGAGAAAAACAGGAAAAAAACATGGACTTAAACAGTTGAAGAATAAGTACATGAGCTTGAAGAAAGAGTGGCAAGCGTGGATGAAGTTGATGGATTCAAGCAAGGGAGTGTCCGGGATAGGCTTTGACTATGACACCGGTTTGTTTCAGGCACCTGACGAGTGGTGGGACAAGATGGAATCAGTAAG